CTTCAGGTAAGGGTTTAGGGTTTAGGGTTTAGGGTTTAGGGTTTAGGGTAAGTCTTGATAGGATTTAGGAAATTTCGGCTCAAAGGGGTTTAGGTTTCAGCTTTGAGGGTACCCGTGTTCCACTCCGTGGTTTGCCGGGATCGGCTTGAGAGGAAAGGCGGTTCGTAGTTCTCTTTCCCTTGCAAACGTCTGAGGTGGAACCCATGGGCCCCTAACATGGGCCCTTGGGGGATTCTAGGGTCCCTTAAGGGTATATATAGGGTATATAGTAGGTATATTAGGGTCCCAGGGTTAAGGGCCCATACTAGGGGCCATGGGTTCTGCCGTAGAAAACGGCAGAGAGTACTCCCACAACACTGGGTTCAGGTTTTCAAACCCTAAACCCGAAACCCTAAGCCCTATTTCCTTAGCCCGCAGAACTACCTTTTTTTTAGCATCTGCATAAGGAAGCCACTGAGGTAGGTTCCTTAGGGTTTAGGGTTTAGGGGTCCATATATTTGCAACATCCTCCTAAAACCCAATGAACCCCACAGAAAACCCTCGGACTCGGAGCAGTCCACTCTCCGAGGACCCGATATTTTTAAGCCCTTATATAGAGGCCTTAGTATTTCGAGTTGGATTTGGGATACATTCTAGTAAGGAGCCCTAAAGATTAACATGAGTCCTCCGAACAATCCCCGAACCCGGAAATCCACAGGCCTAAAGCCCAAATACAGCACTCCGATATAACCCTAAACCCTAAACCCTAATCCCTAAACCCTGAAGCGACTTTGGGTCCAAACCCCTCAAAACCTAAACCCGAAACCTAAACCAGCAACTTGCGGCTTGGGAAATCCAAAGACACCAGGGGGAAAGCAACAGGAACTAGCGATAAAGTTTAGGGGCTAGGCCTAAACCCTAAACCCTAAACTTACCCTAAACCCTAAACCCTAAATTAAACTGCAGGGGGAATCCCAAAAGCCTCTAGGCCAAGCCCCAAGCGGACCCAAACCCTAAATCCCAAGCCCTGAACGCTAAACCCTTAAGCTGCAAACCCGAACCCCCTTTCAGACATCACCACAACCTGTGAAAGCCCATAAAATACGCATTGAAATGCTATAAGCTGCTGTAATAGCACAACGGGTACTCCATGAAAATCACAAATTCAGCCTATGTGATATATCACCGCTCTTTTTGGCCCGCTGTTCTGAAGCCTTTTCTCGTTGCCTGTATGATAACCTTGAAAGGATCACAACCGTCCACAACCGTCCGGAACCCTTTAAGGGACCTAAAGGGCCCCCATATTACCCGAAGGGTCCAACCTAGGGTTTAGGGTTTAGGGTTTAGGGTTTGGGTTTTGGATACCAAAGTGCATTCAGAGGAAAAGTAGTTGGGCTCTAAAGCCCTGCCATTTGGGTACTTGGACCCTTCAGGTTAGGACGCTCCTGGTTCAACAGGGTCCTGAATCTCACATACCTTGCCTTTTTTCAGAACTTCCATACGGAAATCATTGTAAGCAACCCAAAGCAGAGGTTTCTGAAGGTTTAGGGTTTAGGGAGTTTAGGGCACCCTTAAACCCTAAACCCTGAACCCTCAACCCTAAACCCTAAACCCTAAAAGCAGAGGTTTCTTAGGGTCCAGGGTGGGCTTCCCTGTTTTAAAGGAAACTACAGGTGGGGAGTTTAGATGAGGTTTCTATAAGGTATATGGGAGTTTCAGAAAATTAGGGTACCTTATTTTGGGGTCCTTATAATAGGGATCCTAGTATTTAGGGTACTATATTAGGGTCCCCTATTTTCGGAAACCCCCATATAGACCTTCTATAAGGCTCCTATAACGGTAACTAGCCTGAAAATGTCCTGGCCTGTTCTCCTGCCAGGGGCCAGAGTCGACCCGTGCTCCGCCGCGACCAAAGGCATCTCGGGCGTCAGAGCTTCCCAGATAACCCAATACTCCTTAATTAAGGAATAGACCTTAAATCATCATATTAAGGCCAAGGGAATTCAAGCACCCAAACATAGCTCCAGGGAACCAGCACTTCGAACCGCTTGACTTGGTGAAGTGCTACCGGGTCCACGTGGGCCAAGACTATTTTCCCCACCAAGGCTTTGCCTGCTTGCTCTACGGAGAACTCGGCGGCGGAGTTCGTTTGTGGCGGTGCCAAAGAGGTGGGCTGGTCAACTGGCTGCTGACGAGGCCAGCAGAATCCAGCAGAAGTCCGCTCGGTCGTGGTGAACTTGTTCGCCCGGCTGAGGCTGGGCAGTGTGACGATCCAGGCCAGGATGTTGTTCGGGAGCACTGCTCTACTCGCAGACCTGGACGTGTGAGCATGACCTCAAAGTCGCGGCGGTGAGCGCCGGCATCCGACGGAACATGCTCGTGGCCGGTCGCATGCAGTCGACCCACTATCTAAAGATCATGGGCCACAGACTCCTGTTCCCCGGCACCAAGATCTGGTCCTGCACCTGGAAGAAACCCGAGTCAAAGAAAACCAGAAAGCCCGAACCCTGAAATGCGTGAGACATGCCTGCTCCAAGCCCGGCTCTCCTTTACGAAGGAACAAAGGGTGTTCTGAGAGTGAATTGTGGGGCCCTCTAAACCCAAAATCCTAAGCCCTAAGCCTTAAACCTAAAGGCTAAACCCTAAACCCTAAGCCCTAAACCCTAAATCCTAAAACCTAACACCCTAAGCCCTAAACCGAAACTGGGGTCCTGGGTATCTTAGACCGCGGAATTGGAACACAGGGTTGCCGAGAGAACCCAATACCCCTTAATTAAGGAACATACCTCAAATCATCATGTGAAGGCCCCTGTAGTTGAAGGTATATTCCTTAACTGAGGTGCAACCCTAAGCCCGAAACCGTAAATTGGGTTCTCTGGTTCAGGGACCTTTCTGTCGATGCAGCCCCGGTGCGCAAAGGACCAGCACCTAGCCACTACCTAGGGTTTCAAAGTTCAGGGGTCCAAGTGCCCGAATAGCAGGATTCTAGGTCCCAAATACGCTGCTCTCACTTGTTTTTTGTACCACGAACCCTGCTATTTGGGCACTTGGACCTTTAGGGTCCTGGAACCTGAATGAAGCCTCAGGCCTACAGCCTCAATCACCCTGAACTCAAAGGCCCAAAGCCCCAAAGCCTAAAACAAGTTTACCAAACCCAAAGACGAAAACACCCTTTCCAAATCCTACAAGCTCTATAGTCGCTAAACCCCATACCCTTACCCAGCACAAACCAAAGACAATCTGTAGACTCTAAACCCTAAACCCTACACCGTAAACCTAAACCCTAAACCCTTAAAGCCCTCAACGTTGGGCCCTCAAATCCTGCGCCCGCAAGCTCCAAAAGCCAAGACTCAATCAGAAGCCTCGTCGTTTAGCCCTAAACCGGGGTGTAAGCTTTCTGGTTTAGGGTGTAGGGTGAAGGGTTTAGGGATTTGGGTTTGGGGTTGAGGGTTTAGGGTTTAGGGTTTAGGGTGAGCCAGAGGCTTCGTTGTTTAGCGTGCTCCACGACACATTGCCTTCCAGCACTGTTGGGCGCTGAGATTTTTGAGTTAGGGCTCTCGGGCGGTTGGGGTTTAGGGCTCCAGGCTTTTGGTGCAGAGATTTGAAGGTTTGGGGTTTAGGGTTTTAGGTTTTAGGGTTTAGGGTTTAGGGTTTAGAGTTTAGGGTATTAATTACCTAGGCCCTGTAAAACTCTTCCGTTTGATGATGTCCTTGTATCCGTCCGAGATAAAGTAAAGATGTTTGGGGTTAATACAGGGGCCTAAATAATTACCTATACTAGTTGGGGGCTCATTATTATAATTATAGTATACTGGACCGAAAACCCTATTCTAATTATTAATTATTAAGGCCCCACATTATGGGGACCCTCAGTCTACCTAGGCTCTAGACCTAAATGCAGGCAGGAGTGGGGCGCGAGACCCCCGTGTCGAGCACCTGCTAAAGCTTGATAACAAAGGGGGCTTAATAATTAGAATAGGGTTTTGGGGCCACTATACTATAATTACAATAAGGAATCCCCAAAATAGTTTTGGTAATTTAAAACGCTTCGCGTCGTTCGCCTCGGCCCGCTCGATCAGTGGCAAGCACGAACCCAGCAGTGCAATGACACAAACTTGCAGTAGTTGCCATCAACCAAAGCAATCATACCTTCCTAAATGGACAATCACAGAGCAAGATTACAAACAACAATGTGGGTTCACACCACCACCACCACCACCACC